GGACCGTGCTCAGCATGGCTAATGAAGGATTTCAGCCTTTGGCAAAAAATAAAATAAAAAAAAAGTAGGGCTATTTAAAACCAAACTGTCTCATTTCAGAGTGATGGTCTTTTAATGAGCTCCCGAGGAACTCATAAAAGGGCCAAAGCGAATGAAAGTTGAGAGCCCAAAATAGTCAGATGCTGTGAACAAGAACCCCTAACCTATTTGCAGTGGAGACACTCTACAGTTTTAAGTTTTATGGACCCCCCTTTTGTTTTATCTCTCGCTCTGATCTAAGGACATAAGAATTTTGATTATGAAAAAATGGGTTAGATCATGCCCTCCTGGTCCTCAAAAAGCTTTACTGGCTCCCATCCCAAAAATGATGAAGTTCAAAGTTTTGGCTAAGCATTTAGGGCTCCATAGAATCTGGCCCCAACCCTCCGTTTCAATTACTCCCTGCTCTGTCACATGTCTTGGGCTCCAGCTATACTGGCCAACTCTGGGCAGCTTTGCACTTTTGCTCATCGTGTTCCTTCTGCACGAAGTCCTTCCTACCCCATCCCGGCTCTCCACTCCACCCTCCATTCTATTTCCAGTTGCTGTCTAGCTGATTCCGACTCATGCCAATGCCACGTGTGTCAGAGTAGAACTGTGCTCCATACAATTTTCAATGGATGACTTTTGCAAGCAGATCACCAGGTCTTTCTTCTGAGGCACTTCTGGGTGGACTCAAACCGCTAACCTTTCAATTAGCAGCAAGCACACTACCTGTTTGCACCACCCAGGGACACCCCATTCTATTTACAGCACTTGAATTCTTTCTTCTCTGTTAAGCCTTCCCTAATGAGAATAAACAGCTGCCTCTATCACCTGCCAGTGGCACTTTGCTTGCCCTAATTCCATTTAGCCTGGGATGATAAGTAACTCGGAGCCACGATGGCTCAGTGGTAAAGAGCAACCAAAAGGTCGGCAGTTCAAATCAACCAGCCAGCTGCTCCTTCGAAACCCTATGGGGTAGTTCTACTCTGAACTATAGGGTTGCTATGAGTTGGAATTGACTCAACAGCAACGGGTTAATGGGTAACTTGGCCCATGGCTGCCTCCCCACAAGACCAAACAACCAGAGGGCAGAGCCTACATATGGTATCTCCTAGTGTGAGTTGGAATCGACTCAATGGCAATGGTTATTATATTATTATTAGTGCTCAGCCCTGAGCCTTGGACCCAGAAGACAATTGTTGGTTGTGGTGTGACTGGAGTGTTCTTTTTTTTTAAATTCAAGTTTTATTAATTTGAAATACACCATACATTCACCCTAAAACGTACAGAAGAGTGAGAAGTCACCTTCCCTGTTCTCTAGCCACCCAGTTCCCTTCTATGGAAACAACCAGTATTATCAGTTTTTTGTGAATCTTTCCAGATATATGCAACCAATTACATATATTTGTTCCCTCCTTTTGAAAATAGATAACATCATATTCAAAGTTTTATAGTTTGCTTTTTTTTCACTTTAAGATGCACATGTACATGTATTTTTAAGGTTTACTTAACCAACTGACTTGATAACATTAGGTTGTTTTCATTCTTTTATTAAAAACAATGCTACAACGAATAAACTTGTACATCTGTCATTTTCATATGTGAGTATTTATGTAGGAAGAATTCCTAGAAGTACACTTGCTAGGTTGATGGGTGTGGGTACTTTTAATCTTGGCTATCATGGCCCAATTGTTCTCCATAAAGAATGTCCAATTTTATACCCACAAGCAATGTATGGGAGTCTGTTTCCCCACAGCTTTTTCAACACAATGTGTTATCAAACTTTGTAACAAGTTCCATTAAAAAAATTAGACATTTTAAATTTGTGTGTGTGTGTTTTTAAACACATTCATGATCATCCCTTGAGTTGAAATTATCACTGATATACTGGGGTGTTGACAATCTAGGGATTCTAACCCCTAGGTCATAGAAAGTAATTCTTGTTGACTCCAAGCATATTTCAGGAATGGGGTAGAAAAATGTCATGGATATCCAGCTGCTTTAATAAAGAGATTTTACTTTTGTGGGGTAATCTGCAGTTTTCAGACACTTTTTAACATACATTGATTTTGATCAATGGATACATCCTGTACTTTCAAGAATTTAAAGCATAACCTGTATAGGACAGCTCAGTGAACATATGCTTTGCAGATTTGATGTTCTGGATACAATTTGGGGATGTACCTCTGATTATTTTAGGAAGGAGATGCACTATAGAGGTCAGAGAAACAATCCCTGAAGAAAGAACAAAATGTGTATTTACCCACCTGGGTTTGAAGCCTGTCTCTATCACTTTTAGCTGTGTGCTTCTGGGCAAATTATTATTATTATAGTAGTTTAAGTGAAATTTACAATCCAAGTTAGTCTCACATACAAAAATTCATACATACATTGTTACGTGACCTTAACTGCTCTCCCTATACTGTGACAGCACATTCCTCCTTTCCACCCGATTTCCCGTGTCCATTCAATCAGCTCCTGACCCTCTCTGCCTTCTCATCTCACCTCTGGACAGGAGCTGCCCATTTAGTCTCATGTATATACTTGAGCTAAGAAGCACACTCTTCATGAGTATCATTTTATGTCCCATAGTCCATTCTAATCTTTGACTGAAGAGTCGGCCTCGGGAATGGTTAGTGTATGGGGGCCATGCTCTCTGGGGTTCCTCCAGTCTCAGTCAGACCATTAAGTCTGGTCTTTTCACTAGAATTTGAGTTCTGCACCCCACTTTTCTCCTACTCCAACAGCGACTCTCTGTTGTGTTCCCTGTCAGGGCGGTCATTGGTTGTAGCCGGGCACCATCTAGTTCTTCTGGTCTCAGGCTGTTGCAGTCTCTGGTTTACGTGGCCGTTTCTGTTCTTGGGCTAATGTTTTGTGCCTTTGGTTTTCTTCATTCTCCTTTACTCCAGGTGGGTTGGGACCAATTGATGCATCTTAGATGGCCGCTCACTAGCTTTTAAGACCCCAAACGCCACTCACCAACGTAGGATGCAGAACATTTTCTTAATAGACTTTGTTATGCCAGTTGACCTAGATGTCCCCGGAAAGCATGGTCCCCAGACCTCCACCCCTGCTACTCTGTCCCTCGAAGTGTTTGGTTATATTCAGGTTTAGTCCAGTTGTGCTGACTGCCCCTGTAGTATGTGCTGTCTTTCCCTTCACCTAAGATAATTCTTGTCTACTATCTAGTTGGTGAATAATCCTCTCCCTCCCTCTCCATCCTCGTAACCATCAAAGAATGTTTTCTTCTGTGTTTAAATCTTTTCTTGAGTTCTTATAATAGCGGTCTTATACAATATTTGTCCTTTTGCAACTGACTAAATTCACTCAGCATAATGCCTTCCAGATTCCTCCATATTATAAGGTGTTTCACGGATTCATTGTTGTTATCGTTGCGTGGTATTCCATTGTGCGGATTTACCATAATTTGTTTATCCATTCGTCCATTGATGGGCACCTAGGTTGTTTCCATCTTTTTGCTATTGTGAACAGTGCTGCAGTGAACATGGGTGTGCATATATCTATTCGTGTGACGGCTCTTTTTTCTCTAGGATATATTCCAAGGAGCAGGATAGCTGGATCGTATGGTACTTCTATTTCGAGCTTTTTAAGGAAGCACCATATTGATCTCCAAAGTCGTTGTACTATTTTACATTCCCACCAACAGTGTATAAGTGTTCCAGTCTCTCCACAACCTCTCCAGCATTTATTATTTTGTGTTTTTTGGATTAAAGCTAGCCTTGTTGGGGTGAGATGGTATCTCATTGTAGTTTTGATTTGCATTTCTCTAATGGCTAATGATCGTGAGCATTTCTTCATGTGTCTGTTAGCCACCTCAATGTCTTCTCTGGTGTGGGCAAATTATCATTTTTTCCTTTTTTTTAAAAAAATTGGGTTTTAGGTGAAAGCTTTCAACTGAAGTTAATTTCTCATTCAAAAATTTTACACACATTGTTTTGTGACATTGGTTGCAATCCCCACAATGTGACAGCACACTCCCCCTCTTCCACCCCTGCGTTTCCTGTGTCCATTCGACCACTTCCTGTCCCTTCCTGCGTTCGGACAGGAGCTGCCCATTTGGTCTCATATACCTGATTGAACTAAGAAGCACGTTCTTCACATGTATTCTTTTTTGTTTTATAGTCCTAATCTTTGGGAAAATTATTTAACCTGAGTCTCAGTTTCTGTAATCTGCCTCATAGCGTTGAGAGGGTTAAACGGGATGATGCCGGTAAAACTTTTTGGTGCACTCCCTGACATATAATAGGCATTCTATAAATGTAGCTGTAATTATTATTTAATAAACAATACGTGGTTATATGTGGTGGCAGCAGATTAAGGGGCTACTTTGGTGCTATAAATCTCTCTTGAACTAGAGGTTAAGGATTTTGGTGTGGGATAAATTCCTAACACTCACTGGCAGTATGACTTTGAGCAAGTTACCTAACCTGTCTGACCTCAGTTTTCTCATCTGTAAAGTGGACAGAATAAAATCCAAGTCTCAAGGTTTGCCCTGACGCTTAAATGTGTAATACGAAGCACACATAAGTGTTTCATACACATTAATTCTATTCTTTCCTACCAGTCTAATGAGCGGAAACAGATGGTGGCATCACACAATCCAGTAACTCCAGGAAAGGTGAGGGACAGAGGCCAGGGCGACGCGGGCGAATCGGGCTATGGCCGGCGAGCCTCGGGTCGAAGACGACAGAGCCGCGGACCGTAAAGCTACCTCCCAGCTCTCCAAAACCGTTCTTCTAGACCTCGCTCTGGAAACCCCACCTCCCGGGAGGTCGCAGCAGAGCGGCGGTCACCCTGGCAACACTGCCTTCCGGCCCGCTTTGCCCCGCCTCCGCTTCCGCGTCTGATGTCGAGCGTCATCGTCGCGCGACGGGTTATGGGTTTCCGGGAAGGGCCCGGGGGTGAGGGGGTGTGGTCCCGGTTAGAGGGAAGTGGCAGGCAGAGGTCGCGGGCTTGGACATCGGCGTCGCGCACTGCACCAAGACCTCGGCGCAGCCATGGAGAGCGGAGGGCGGCCTTCGCTGTGCCAGTTCATCCTCTTGGGCACCAGTTCTGTCGTCACTGCTATCCTGTACTCCGTATACAGACAGAAGGCCCAGGTCTCCCATGAGCTGAAGGTCAGTGCTGGGGCTGGACTAGCCTCAGCCGGGTCATCTCTGCGCCCGGTAATGATGTGCCCACGATTCGCGTCGGGCCGCTCCACAGCCAGAAACTACAGAAGAGGAGACAGGCTTTGAGATGATGTAACCTGACCAGTAAATGGAGGAGCTAGGATCAGAATCCAGGATTCATGATCACAGTTTCATGCCCATTTCTCTTAACTTCCTCTCATTACTCAGAATGAATCTTGACTTCATTAATTTATTCGGCAAATATTTATTGAACACCTAGCATGCGCCAGACACTGAGGATATAGCAATGAGTAGAACGACAAAAGTCCCTGCCCTCATGGGGATTCCATTTTAGTACAGGCAGACAGACAAAATCAGGTAAATCATTTGGTATGACAGATGGTGATAAATACTATAGAGTAACGCAGGGAAGAAGGGAAAGGGAATGCTAGAGAAAAGCGGTTTGCTATTTTAACTAAGATGACATTAGCCCAGAATCCTGGAAGAGATGAGGGAGTGGGGCGTGCAGATATCTAGGGGAAGAGCACTTCCTGGACCCTGGACTATATCCAGTTATTTAACCACTTAGCTCCTTGCTACTGCAAAACCTTCCTTTTTATGTGATAGCTATTTTAAAAATAATACTCTTTTTGAAGGGCACTTTACAGTTTACAAAACACATTTCCATCTTGGTTTTATTTTTTTCTTCTTAATAATTCCTTGAGTTAGGTAAAATGACAGTTACTTCCAGATTGCAAATTGAGACTCAGAGGAAAGGTCTTAACAGCTGGTCAGCCTGGAACTGAAACTTAGGTCTCTTGATTCCAAGTGTGGAATTGTTTTCTGATTGACCACATTGCTTTTTTGTGAATGTTTGACTGGCCCATGAGAGATGGACCTGTTTAGGTCAGGGGTAGGATCTTATTTGTCTTTCTTCCTTCCCTCTAGGTTCTGACTTGGTACTTGACAAGTGGTAGATGCTCAGTAAATGTTTGTGGATTCATTTTGGCTGAAATGTCACACTACAGTAGTTAAGAGCCTAATTGTCATTTATATGAAGGATGAAGTTCTAAACCTGACTAATTACATTATCATCACATTGTTTTCAGTAAGGGCTTAGAAACAAATATGTGAAATCCCTGCTGTGAGGTGAGTTTTGGAATCTGTCAGGAATGAATCACATTCCCAGGCAATTGGATTTGCAGTGCCAGTGACATCCTAGTGAGATTCCAGCTGCCCTCTCATTTGCCTAATTAAATAACCAAGTGATCTGCTATGAGTGGTTCTGATATTTCACTTTCTGAGTCTGAAATCAGTTTGGCATCAAGTTGGCTGGATGTGGAATTCTTTGGAGTGGTGAATTCTCCAGGGCCCATGTTTGGGTAACCTTGAAAACCTTGCCAGTTAGTAATCAAATGAGGATGAAATAGCCCCTTCCTGGAAAAAGAGTTGGGACTCCTAATATTTTAGATTTTATTTTCTCGACCAGATCACAAAACTTCCAGAGTAAGGTTCATGTCTTATCCTTGTGAATCGTCTCATAGTGATGGAAATGCATTTTTAATGCCAGCTCCTGGGCTGGATTCTTTCATACCTCAAACCAAAGAAACCAAACCAAACCAAACCAAACCCCTTGCTGTAGAGTCGATTCCAACTCATAGCGACCCTGTAGGACAGAGTAGAACTGCCCCATAGAGTTGCCAAGGAGCGCCTGGTGGATTCGAACTGCCGACCTTTTGGTTAGCAGCTGTAGCTCTTAACCACTATGCCACCAGGACATCCTTCATACATCAAGGCTCATTTAATCTGCATAAAAATCCTGTTTGCTTGTGTTCTCCTCCTCCTTTACAGCTCTGGAGGCTGAGACTCAGCTAAATTAAGTTGCCCAAAGTCACAAAGCTTGTTTGTGAAGCTCGATTCACACTAAAGTCTTTCTGACCATACTACCCTCCTCCTTCATTAAAAAAAATTCGAATCAGCCATCCTGTGGTGGATACTTTGCTAGTTGTGTGACTTTGGGCCAATCACTTCATCTCTCTGAGCCTCAGTGTCCTTATCTGAAATTGGAGCTAATCATAATGCCTATCTTGTAGGAATGTTAGGAGCAATAAATGCATCTTAAAGTGCTTAGCATAGTGTCAGGTACATAGTATATCTAAATGCTTATTTATTCATTATTTTGTTCAGCAAACACTGATTGAGTGCCTTCTACGTGTCAGGCCATGTTCTTGGCATGAGGGGTACAGTGGTGACCAAGGCAAAACAAGATCCTAGCCCTCCTAGTCCAGTGGAGGGAGACAGATGATAAAGGAGTAAATAGTTTCTAAGTGTTAATTATTTTTATTATCTTTTCAGTATGGGTGGTTAATAAGTTTTTATTCATCTTGCTCCTGTCATTTACTGGGTAGCAGTAACTTAAACTTGTCTTTTGACACATAGCCACCCATGTGACAGAGTAGAACTGCCCCATTGGATTTTCTTGGCTGTAATGTTAGTGGAAGTAGATCAACAGGTCTTTCTCCTGTGGAGCCACTGGGTGGGTTCCAACCAGCAACCTTTTGGTTAGCAGCCAAACGCTTTACTGTTATGCCACTAGGGCTCCTTAGAAAACCAAACAACCAAACGTGTTGGCGTCTAGTCAATTCCAACCATAGTGACCCTATAGGACATAGTAGAACTGTCCCACAGGGTCTCCAAGGAGTGCCTGGTGGATTTGAACTGCCGACTTTTTGGTTAGCAGCTGTAGCTCTTAACCACTACGCCACCAGGGTTTCCCCTTAACTTAGAGTGACCTTAATATGTGTCCAGCACCTCATCACCTCGTTACTTATCTGGTGTTCGTAAGATCTGTTGATGGGAATACAGGGAAAACAGGGACTGTCCTTTATTTGTCCCTGAATCCCAGTACCCATCACAGTGCCTAGCACGCAGATGCTCAGAAAATGTGTGTCAATTTTATTATTTATTTTGGTTGTCTGGTTTCCCGAGTGGAGCCGTGGTGGCACAGTGGTTAAGAGCTTGGCTGCTAATCAAAAGGTCAGCAGCTTGAATCCAGCAGTCTCTCCTTGGAAACTCTGTGGGGCAGTTCTACTCTGTCCTGCAGGGTTACTAGGAGTCGGAATCGACTTAACAGCAATGGGTTTGTTGTTTTTTTTTTCGGTTTCCCAAGCACAACAGGTTGGAAACTATGAATCGTTAGGGGTGGGGGAACAAGGGCTTGTTAGAGGACAACAGCAGCAGAAGTAACCTTGTTCACTTGATTATGAGTGGAAAGAAAGACAAATGACAAAGTAGAAGAAAGTATCTAGCACCAGTTAACAGAGACTTGCCCTAACAAAGCAAAGGCATCCCTTTATTAATAATGCAGAGCATTAATTCATAAAGGTGGTGGTGATAATAATACCTACACTTTCTCAAGCCCCTACCAGGTACTGGGCACTAAATTAGGTGCTTTATACATAAATCCTTTGGATTTATGGCTCTGTATTATCAAGAAGAGGTGAAATTATGTTCGATCTGCAGTATGAAGATAGCAAACTGATTAATACCTTTCATATTTTCTTTTAAAAAAATGGTTAACATTAAAAGGAGTGTGTGTTTTGGTTAGCTGGAGAAAGAATGGATGTGGCAGCCCTGTTCTTCCGTGATGCCAGGATGCTGAGCCTCTGTCCTGTGCCTGTTGAGGCTTTAACACTTACAGCTTGGGAATCTGAGTCTCCACAGTCTCCTTCCTGCCCAATTCATTTTTTGAACATGAAAAAGGTTAACAGTCTTTTTTATTTTTTGCCTCCCCCCCTCCTTTTTTTTCCTGTTTCTAGGGTTTTTTTTTTTTTTTTTTAAATTTAAACTGTGCTTTAGGTGAAAGTTTACAGAGCAAATGAGTTTCTCATTAAACAGTTAATAAACAAATTGTTTTGTGACATTGGTTGCCGACCACTTGATGTGTCGACACTCTCCCATTCCCCACCCCGGATTCCATGTTTCCATTCATCCAGTTTTCCTTCTCGTCTTTGCTTTTGGGCTGGTGTGCCCATTAGTGTCATATGCATGATTGAACTACGAAGCCTGTTCCTCACATGTGTTATTGGTTGGCCTTATAGAGGGTGAACCTCAGGAGTGACTTCAATACTGTGTTAAAAGGATGTCCGGCTGCCATACTCTTGGGGTTTGTCCAGTCTCTGTTAGACCAGCAAGCCTGGTCTTTTTGTTTGTGTGTGTGAATTTGAATTTTGTTCTACATTTTTCTCCCTCTCTGTCCGGGACCCTCTGTTGTGATCCCTGCCAGAACAGTCGGTGGTGGTAGCCAGGCACCATCTAGTTGCCCTGGGCTCAGTCTGGTGGAGGTTGTGGTAGTTGTGGTCCATTAGTCCTTTGGACTAATCTTTCCTTTGTGTCTTTGGTTTTCTTTATTCTCCTTTGCTCCAGCTGGGATGAGACTAGTAGATGTATCTTTGATGGTGGCTTTCAGGCTTTTAAGACCCCAGATGCTACTCACCACTGTCGGGTGTAGAACATTTTCTTTAAAGACTGTGTTATGCCATTTGAGCTAGGTGTCCCCCGAGACCATGGTTCCCAGCCCTCAGCTCAGTAGCTTGGTTGCTCAGGGCATTTAGGTGTGTCTGTGAAGCTTCTAAGACTTTGCCCTGGTCAAGTTGTGCTCACTTCCCCAGGATTGTGTACTGTCTTACCCTTCACCAAAATTACCACTTAACTACTATCTAGTTAATGTTTTTCCCTCCCCACCCCTGCCCGTCCTTGTAACCATCAAAAATTGTTTTTTTCTGTGTGGAAACATTTTCATGTGTTTTTATAACAGTGGTCTCATACAGTATTTGTCCTTTTGTGATTGACTTATTTCACTCAGCATAATGCCCTCCAGATTCATCCATGTTGTGAGTTGTTTGGCAGAGTCATCATTGTTCTTTATCATTGCATGATATTCATTGTGTGCATGTACCATAGTTTGTTTATCCATTCATCTGTTGATGGGCACTTAGGTTGTTTCCATCTTTTTGCTATTGTGAATAATGCTGCAGTGAACATGGGTGTGTATATGTCTATTCATGTGACAGGTCTTATTTCTCTAGGATATATTACTAGGAGTGGGATTGCTGGATCATGTGGTTTGTCTGTTTCTAGCTTTGTAAGGAAGTACCATATCGTTTTCTAAAACGGTTGTACCATTTTGCGTTCCCACCAGCAGTGTGTAAGAGTTTCAATCTCCCCGCAACCTCTCCAACATTTGTTATTTTCTGTTTTTATGATTAATGCCAGTAATGTTGGGGTGAGATGGTATCTCATTGTAGTTTTGATTTGTCTTTTTTGCCCTTTAAGTTTGATTGAGCGTGTCAGTATTCAGCACTTAATTTAATATGCTGTTTGCATTTAGGGAGCTAAAAAAATCCACTTGGGTGAAGATCTAAAGAGTATTCTTTTGGAAGCTCCAGGAAAATGTGTGCCTTATGCTGTTATTGAAGGTATGTTTGTTTATCGGTAAAATAAAAACCTATCCCTTCTTCCAAAAGTTTGATAAAGATATGCTTGACTGACGTTAAGGGTCTTTTGTGGCAATGTGGCCGTGGTCGAGAACATGGGCTTTGGGGTCAGAAAGACCTGGGTTATTGCTGTGTGGTCTTGGGGCAAATTACCAAACCTTTCTGAACCACTTTTACCCCATCTCTAAAATAATACCTACCTTATGGAGTTGTCGTAAGACTCAAATGATATAATCTGTGTAAAGTGCTTAGCAGTTGTTGTTGTTGTTGTTGTCAGGTGCCGTTGAGTTGGTTCCGACTCATAGCGACCCCATGTACAACAGAAGGAAACACTGCCTGGTCCTGCACCTTCCTCACAATCGTTGTTATGCTTGAGCCCATTGTTGGCAGCCACTGTGTCAATCCATCTGCTTAGCAGAGTGCCCCCCAGATGTAACTTCTGGTGATAAAAGTTTCATCATTTGTAGTAATTAAACTAATTCAAGTTAAAATCAAAATTTTAATTACCTTAGGGGAGAGGGCAGAGATATTCTTCAGAAATAAGACGATTTGTTTCCACTTAGGGGCTGTGCGATCTGTTAAAGAAACACTTAACAGCCAGTTTGTGGAAAATTGCAAGGGGGTGATTCAGCGTCTGACACTTCAGGAGCACAAGATGGTGTGGAATCGAACCACTCATCTTTGGTAAGTGTTCTTTCTCCACTGCCAGAAAACTCACAGCTGGCCCGTTCAAATGCTCGTGTCCTGGGTCTGGTTTCTGTGTCTTCAGCTTCACCTGAAGCAGGTTGTAGATCAGTCCTTCCATGCTAATAGTATTCTTCCTGCGTGCTCTGTGGACCTCCTACATCAGAATCACCTAGGCGTCTTCTGAAAACACATATTTCTGGGTTCTATTCCAGACCTAGTTGCAGCCCTTATAATGTGACAGCACACTCCCCCTTTCCACCCCTGGTTTCTATTCAACCAGCTCCTATCCCTTTCTGCCTTCTCATCCCACCTCCAGAAGACACACACCTTTCTTGGTTTTAAACCATGCAGTATCCCCTTGCTCTGTAGGAATGTCAGCTTCTTGGTTTATGTCCACATTCCACATGAGCACAATTAAGTGTTCTTGAATTCCCATTCTTTGAAATGTTATCCATAATTTGTTATGATCCACACAATCAAATGCCTTTGGATAGTCAATAAAACACAGATAAACATGCTTCTGGTAGTCTCTGCTTTCAGCCGAGATCCATCTAACATCAGCACTGATATCCCCTGTTCCACGTTCTCTTCTGAATCCAGCTTGAATTTCTGGCAGTTCCCTGTTGATGTACTGGTGCAACTGCCTTTGAATGATCTTTGGCAAAATTTTATGTGCATGTGATATTAATGATATTGTTTGATAATTTCCGCATTCTGTTGAATCACCTTTCTTGGGAATGGGCACAAATATGGATTTCTTCCAGTCAGTTGTCCAGGTAGCTATCTTCCAGATTTCTTGGTGTAGACAAGTGAGCGCTTCCGCCACTGCATCCTTTTTTTTTGAAAAATCTCGGTTGGTATTCCATCAATTCCTGGAACCTTGTTTTTCACCAGTGCCTTTAGTGCAGCTAGGACTTCTTCCTTCAATACCATCAGTTCTTGATTATATGCTACCTCCTGAAATGGTTGAACATCGACCAGTTCTTTTTGGTATGGTGACTCTGTGTATTCCCTTTTATCTTCTTTAGATACTTCTGCGTTGTTCAATATTTTGCCCGTAGAATCCTTCAGTATTGTAACTTGAGGCTTGAATTTTTTCTTCAATTCTTTCAGCTTGAGAAATGCTGAGCGTGTTCTTCCCCTTTGGTTTTCTAACTCCAGGTCTTTGCACATTTCCTTATAATACTTTACTTTGTCTTCTCGAGCTGCCCTTTGAAATTTTCTGTTCAGCTCTTTTACTTCATTGTTTCTTCTGTTTGCTTTAGCTACTCTATGTCCAAGAGCAAGTTTCAGAGTCTCTTCTGACATCCATTTTGGTCTTTTCTTTCTTTTCTGTGTTTTTAATGGTGTTTTGCTTTCTTCATGCATGATGTCCTTGATGTCTTTCCACAACTCGTCTGGTCTTCAGTCACCAGTGTTCAGTGCATCAAATCTGTTCTTGAGATGGTCTCCACATTTAGGTGGGATATACTCGAGGTCATAATTTGGCTTTCGTGGACTTGTTTTAAATTTCTTCAGCTTCATCTTGAACTTGCGTAGGAGCAATTGATGGTCTGTTCCAAAGTTGGCTCCTGGCCTTGTTCTGACTGATGATATTGAACTTTTCCATTGTCTCTTTCCACACATGTAGTTGATTTGATTCCTGTGTTTTCCATCTGGTGAGGTCCAAGTGTGTAGTCGCCGTTTATGTTGTAAAAAGGTATTTGCAACGAAGAAGTTTTTGGTCTTGCAGAATTCTATCACGCGATCTGCGTCATCGTTTCTATCACCAAGGCCGTATTTTCGAACTACCAATCCTTCTTCATTTCCAATTTTCACATTCCAATCACCAGTAATTACTGATGCATCTTGATTGAGTGTTTGATCAATTTCAGACTGCAGAAGTTGATAAATATCTTCAATTTCCTACTGAAACTCCCTTCTGTGAGGCAGTTGGAGAATAGTGATTTCTTTTGTGTTTTTTTTTAGTTACTTCAGACTTTGTTCTCTCCTCTTGGCATTTGGGTGATCTCATCTCTGCCTGAGTATTTGGTGTTTGCAATTTTTTGTTTTATCTGAGTTCTCTTATTCTTTTAGGAATGACTATTCAAAGATCATCCACCAGAGAACCAACACGGTGCCATTTGACCTGGTGCCCCACGAGGATGGTGTGGATGTGGCCGTCCGAGTGCTGAAGCCCCTGGACTCGGTGGATCTGGGCCTGGAGACTGTGTATGAGAAGTTCCACCCCTCGATCCAGTCCTTCACTGATGTCATCGGCCACTACATCAGCGGTGAGCGGCCCAAAGGCATCCAGGAGACAGAGGAGATGCTGAAGGTCGGGGCCACCCTCACAGGGGTGGGTGAACTGGTCCTGGACAACAACTCTGTCCGCCTCCAGCCCCCCAAGCAGGGCATGCAGTACTACCTGAGCAGCCAGGACTTCGACAGCCTGCTGCAGAGGCAGGAGTCGAGCGTCCGACTCTGGAAGGTCCTGACGCTGGTATTTGGCTTTGCTGCCTGTGCCACCCTCTTCTTCATCCTCCGAAAGCAGTACCTGCAGCGGCAGGAGAGACTGCGCCTCAAGCAGATGCAGGAGGAATTCCGGGAGCACGAGGCCCAGCTGCTAAGCCGAGTCACACCTGAGAACAGGGAGAGTCTGAAGAGTGCCTGTGTCGTGTGTCTGAGCAACTTCAAGTCCTGCGTCTTCTTGGAGTGTGGGCATGTCTGTTCCTGCACGGAGTGCTACCGCGCCTTGCCAGAGCCCAAGAGATGCCCCATCTGCAGACAGGAGGTCACCCGCGTGGTTCCTTTGTACAATAGCTAACTGTCCTGAAGCCACACAGTCAGACCTGGAAGTAATCCTCCCTTCCAGGGATTCTTATCTTGACGCCTTTAAGAGAGCAGTGGTGGGGGTGACTGTCAATCTCCAGGTGTGACTGAGGGGTGAGAGGAGAGCAGAGAAGGAACCTACCTGATCCCACACATCTGGCCCAGGATGTGGCCTTCCCAGCTTGAGGGGAACCTTTCCTCATGGAGCATGAGAGTTGAAGACCCACCCTGAGTGATGTGGCAGCATGGCCGCCCTTCCCAGGAACCAGATAAGTGTGCCTGTGGTTTGAGACACCTCATCTCTTAAGTGTTGAAGCCAGTGATCTTCAGACCCTTGCTCCTGTGTCTGGTCCTTTCTGGTGAACTGTCGATTCCTGCAGACTTGTAGTAGGACTTGGCCTGGGCCCAGGCTTGAATGATTCGGCCAGAGGGGAGGAAAAGTTGGGATCTGAGGCCATTGTGTGCCTTGAGAGCTGCTTCTGAAGATGCTCTTAGTTTCTCTTTCTTATAAACGCGGGAAAAAGTCTTCACAGTTGTCAGTCGAGACGTGTGAGTTACATCCCTTTCACCTCCCCTGTCTGCCCCTAAATGTGTGCACGTCCGTGTAGAGGACAAAAGAGAGTGAAGTTCAGCACATCTGCCTTCTACTTAAACGCATGTCACACCGGTCAGCAGGGTGAGGAGCCGTCACTTGAGGCCAGTCAACGAACAGCTCCCAGCTTGGCTGCAGCCCCTCTGCTGTCTCTACTGACCTAAGGGACTGACCTCACGGCAGGGCCACCAGAGTGCACACCTTTGGCCCTGATTTGGAACTCCTCCAGCTTGCGGGTGCCAAGGGCTGGCTGCTGGTCATCCCTGCCTGCCTGACGATGGGCTGGAAAGGCCTCACCACCCAGAGGAAGCAGTCCGGATGCGGCTGCCCTCACCTGCTTCCGCAACTTCTTTCCAGGGTTGTCACCAAGGAAGGTAGCCAGCCAGCATCCTGAGCACAGAGTCTTCTCCAGGCCCTCCCCTAGCCCCTACCCCACTGAAGAGTTAACATCCCATGGGTGTGATCACATCGCCCTTCCCACATTACCGCGTCCTCTACCTGCCCTTCTTGAGCTCGTGGGTGCAAGAGTAGCGGGGAAACCTCCCTCACCACCTCTGGGTAGTAGAGCCGTACACGCAGCTCTTTTTCACTTCCCTTCCCTTTGAATATTCACCCCCCTGGTCCTCCTTTGTGTGGGGGAGGAGGGGGTACTCTCAGGGGCCTGCACCTATACTATGCAGTGTCCAGTGTGGACAGCACAAATTAAACTCTTTGAAACCAAGTGTTAGCCTGTCACTTCATTAATAAAGTAAATGGCTACGCTCACGCTCCCCAGGTGAAATTGGGTCCATGTCCTGACGGAATTAAAGCCGTGGGCTTTGAGGCCTCTGTGCTTCCTCTTCTCAGCCATAAGGTCATTTTGGTCTTCCTCAGATGGTGTGCAGGTTGAGGTCGGGGTGCTTGTCACCATGGCGAGAAGTCTCTGGCCAGCCCCAGAGGGGGCTGTCCTTGAGAGCCAGCCCAGAGGCCGCACCTGGCCTCTCAGAGTCATCTTTGAAGAAGTCTGTCCTGACATGCTGAACCCCAGGGCAGTGAGATTTCACCTGTTAAGAGAATGGGATGGGGTGAGGTGTTGGGGACAACAAGGAGGAAGCTCACTAGTGAGTACCTACTGCATACCATATGCTATTTCAAACTTTGAGTCAGTTGTCACAGCAAGCTTGCAGGCTTGGTCATGGTGTCTCCATCTTACAGGTGAGGAAGTAGGCCCACAGAGGTTCTGTTCATTGGGCTCAGGTCACCTAGCTAGTTAAGTGATCAGGTCACAACGTAAAAACTCCAAGCTGTTCCCAAAGCTCCTTATCCCCTCCTCACCAGTAGTGGGGCTGACCAATTCCTGCCGTGGGAAGAGCATACCGACTCATGGCAACCCCATGTGTTTCAGACTAGAAGTCCACTCCACAGGGTGTCAGTGGCTGTGATCTTTCAGAAGTAGATCGCCAGGCCTTCCTCCATGGTGTACTGGGTAGATTTGAACCGCTAACCTTTTGATGAGTAGCTGGGTACAAACTGTGCTACCCAAGGACCTAGTGAGGTGTTAGGGCCCTGGTATTACATATAGGTGCCTGGGGGCCGTCAGGGTGAGAGGGTGAATTATGGGAATGACTCTGCTCTGAGCACCTCCAAAGCATTTGTCCCTTTTACTTGTCCCTTTAGCAGTTACTTTGTAAGAGGGTCGGGGGTTTAGATGGAAGATGAATTAAGTGCCTGGGGTAGGTTTATGTGGTAATCTATCAGAGTTCAGTGCTTGGAATAGATTTAATGAGTCTGATCCAAGAGATTTAAAAATAAGTGAGAGGGCAGCCTGCCCTATCCCAGCCCAACAAAAATCCTGGGCAGACTTTAATTCTTCCACCCAAGTGGCCCTGTGAGCTGAGCCAAGTTACCCATATGGGACACAGGAGCAACACACAGTCCCTGCCTCTGGAAGCTGACAGCTGGCTGGGAAAAGGGACCCTCCAACCCAGATTCTGGATTTGAGGTCCACACTTGGTCCTTGCCCACCCGGGGCTGAGATGGTCTCCTGCTTGTATTGCAGCCTCACCTGTGGCAACTCCCACCGTTCGTTTGAGGAGCCTCATCTCCAGGAAGGATGAATGGGGCCTAAGCTGGTAGGTGGGACCCAGGCTGGGAGTGGAGGGTGACGGAGAAGGGGAGGTGGGGGCTAGTTCGGAACTGCCCATGACCTTGCTGTGAATTAGGACTCTTTGCTAAAGTCAATCCTTGTGCTAATTCTCATTCACTTTAGTCCTCGAAGGCAGCACTAGGCAGGGGTCACCCTGAGTACTTGCTACTGGTTCTTTGGGTGCCTGTGCTATGCCCTTTATATGCGTTAATGCTTGTGTTCTTACAAAGTGGATGTTGTTACCCCCATTTGACAAATGAGAAAAGTGAGGCTCAGCAGGGTTACACCTTGCCAACGGCCACACGTCACCACGAGCTCTTACAGGTACTGTTTCTAATACTCACGGCAAACCGGCAAGGGAGGCCCTACTTCCTCCTTTTATGGGTTATGTGAATTGCCCAAGGCTGCCAAGGTCTCACTATAAAGCCTACGCCCTGGGCCCTTTATCATGTTAAGCCAGACTGGCTATAAAAGGAGGGTTATCCAAGAGACAACATGTAGTATCATAGACACACAGCATCTTCCAAGCCAATCAGCACCAGCCACAATTGCTGGTTTTATGTAGATGGCAGGTCGAGGCTTTGAGGTGCCTCAGCCATCTTGGTTGAGTAGGGGCTGGAAGGCAGTTCTCTGGAACCCTAATTCGTTTAGAATACCACATGAAAAAAAGCAATCAACCACAACAGTCTTAAGGCCAGTCTTGACACTCTTTACAACTCTTGTCCTGGGTGTGAAAACTCCAGCTGAGTGATGGCTCTGATGTTGATGATCCCAGAGGGCCTCCGGAATGCACAGAGGAGGAGCCAGCCAAGTTCGGTATCCTAGCTGGGCATGTATTCACTTAACAAACATTTGCTGAGGGTGTATTTTGTGCCTGGAGATGCAAAAATGATAAGACAGTCCCTGCCCTCCAAGAGCTCAGAGTTGTGCTTTAATGTATCCTAATCGTATGCAACTAAAATTATGGTGAAGAGAATCAAAAAATTGTAGCATCAGTACATCGACGGGGAACTGCCAGAAATTCAAGCCGGATTCAGAAGAGGATGTGGAACGAGGGATTTCATTGCAGAAGTCAGATGGATCTTGGCTGAAAGCAGAGGATGCTAGAAAAATGTTTACCTGTGTTTTATTGACTATGTAAAGGCCTTCAGCTGTGTGGATCATAACAAATTATGGATAAGATTGTGAAGAATGGGAATTCCAGAACACTTGTACTCATGCAGAACCTGTACATACCAAGAGGCAGTTGTTCAGTTAGAACAAAGGAATACTGCATAGTTTAAAATCAGGAAACATGTGCATCAGGGGTGTATCCTTTCACCATACTTATTCAATCTGTATGCTGAGCAAATAATCCAAGAAGCTGGACTATGTGAAGAACTCGGCATCAGGGTTGGAGGACAACTGATTAACAACCTGAGCAATATGCAGATGATACAGCCTTGCTTGCTGAAAGTGAAGAGGACTTGAAGCACCTACTGATAAAGATCAAAGACCACAGCCTTCAGTCTGGATTACACCTCAACATGAACATAAAAATCCTCACAACTTGACCAATAAGCAACAACATGATAAATGGAGAAAAGATTGAAGTTGTCAAGGATTTCATTTTACTTGGATCCACAATCAATACCGATGGAAGCAGCAGTCAGGAAATCAAACGACATATTGCACTGGGCAAATCTGCTTCAAAAGACCTCTTTAAAGCGTTGAAAAGCAAAGATATCACCTTGAGGACTAAGGTGCGCCTGACCCAAGCCATGATATTTTCAGTCACCTCATATGCATGTGAAAAGTGGACTATAAATAGGGAAACCCAAAAAAGAATTGATGCTTTGAATTGTGGTGTTGGTGACAAATATGGAATATACCACGGACTGCCAGAAGAACAAACAAATCTGTCTTGGAAGAAGTATAGCCACAATGCTCCTTAGAAGCAAGGATGGCAAGGCTTTGTCTCACATACTTCGGCCATGTTATCAGGAGGGATCAGTACCTGAAGAAGGACATCATGCTTGATAAAGTAGAGGGTCAGCGAAAAAGAGGAAGACTATCAATGAGAGGGACTGACATAGTGGCTGCAACAATGGGCTCAAACATAGCAAAGATTGTGAGGATGGTGCAGGACTGGGCAGTGTTTCCTTCTGTTGTGCATAGGGTCGGTATAAGTTGGAACCAACTCAATGGCACCTAACAACAACAATAACAACAACTGAAAAGGAGTAAACCCCACGGTGCCCTGGTGGCACAGTGGTTAAGAGCTCAGCTGCTAACCGAAAGGTCGGCAGTTCGAATCCACCAGCTGCTCCTTGGAAAGAAACCCCATGGGGGAGTTCTACTCTGTTCTGTGGGGTTGCTATGAATTGGAATCGACTCGACAGCAATGGGTTTGGTTTCTTTGGGTTTAAACCCCACTTGAAAGATATGGAGACTCAGTTGTTGGAAATATTTGTGGTTCACAGAATATTGTAGCTGGAAGAGGTCTTTGAGATTGGCCTGGGTAAAGCGGATTCCTTAACCATTCAAATTAAGTAAGGTTAGTGTGTCATTGCTGAAGGGGATCCAAGCACAGAGAATGCATCCCACAGTGCCTAGAAGGATCTATTTAAACACCAACCTGACCATGTCCCTCCTCTGCTTAAAGCCTTTCCCCAGGCTCCCTGTCATTGCAGGAAGCCCTGACTCCATGGCACGTGAAGCCCTGCACCACCCAGCCCTGGCCCCTCGCCAAGCCCCGTCAGCACAGCCCTCTCTGTCTCACACTTGTGGCCCCAGCAACACCAAGCTGTTGAAGTTCTTTAGACAGCATGCTCTTCTGTGCCTCCAGCCTTTGCTCATGCTGATTCCTCCCCCTGGAATGCTGGTCCATCTCTCGTCACCTTGCTGATGCCTGTTGTTGTCGTTGCTAGGTTCCATCTAGCCCATTCTGACTCATAACGACCCACGTGACAGAGTAGAATTGCCCCATAGATTGTCCTAGGCTGTAATCTTTATGGAAGCTGATAGCCAGGTCTTTCTCCTGCGGAGCAGCTGGTGAGTTTGAACCACCAACATCTCGGTTAGCAGCTGAGCACTTCACTATCGTGTCACCTAATGCCTGTACACCCTTAAAAGTCAGCTTTAGGTGTCTCCTCCAGAAAACCTCCCCTGACCTTCCCCATCTAGGCCGGGTTCGGTGCCCCTTCTCTGAGATGCCGTAATAAATTATGCATAGCTCTATTCCTGCTCTTAATCACGTTGTTTGTGTCTTGGGCAGGAATTGTATCTTACTTATTTTCCTTCTCCAGCACATTTTTTAGGTGGTCTGTATATATGTGTATATATATATATATATATACACTAAGGAACCCTGGTGCCATAGTTGCTAAGCGCTCTGCTGTTAACCAAAAGATTGACAGTTCAAACCTATTGGCCGATCAGCGGAAGAAAGATGTGGCAGTCTGCTTCCGTAAAGATTTGCAGCCTTGGAAACCTATGGGGGCTGTTCTACTCTGCCCTATAGGGTCCCTATGGGTTGGAATCGACTCAATGGCAATGGGTGTATATATATATATATATATATATATATATATATATATACACACATACATATAAGCGCTAACGTTCGGGCTTGCACTCTTTGCTAGGTGCCTTGCCAAATCAAATGTTTTACATAATCTCCTTTCATCATCACGTGAAGTGTGTGCTAGTATTATTCTTACTTAAAAAAAGAGGAAACTGAAGCCCAGAGACGTCAAGTATATTGCCCACGGTCATCAGCTAGCACATGAGAGAGAGGCTTTAAGCCTGGGCAGTCTGACTCTAGAGCCCAAGCTGTTATACACTGAGTGCACATGGACTGAATGAGTAAATAAGTGGATGAAATAGGTGTGGGGGAAGCAATCCTGGAAGGCTGCCTGGGGAAGTTGGTTTTTGGACCAGAGATGAGGGCCATTACTTGGTTGTGAGGAGTGAAAGGAGGGCCTCTCTTAGGGCCTGGGAGCCAAGGCACATGAATTGTGTAGGAGGAACATCAAGTCCGGTGGCCTGGCCAGAGCTTTGAGGGCTACACAGTAAAAGTCAGGAAATGTCACTGCATGGTGGTAAATGGTCTAGACTGGGAGCCCAAAGACCTGCTTTCTCTCTGATCCTGGCTCTGTTGCTGTGTGAGCTTGATCAAGTGATTTAACCTTTCTAGGCCTTAGTTCTGTCTATAAAATGAGCCAGTTGGATTAGATCTCCAAGACTCCATTAAGTTCTGGCATTTTGCACATCTACAAGATGGAGAGTAGACAAGGGACTGTGTGTGTATGTGTGTGTGTGTGTGTGTGTGTGGCAGTTTTGAGGCCCTCCTCCAGGGCTGCTGGCCTGAGAGATGAGATGTGGCCCCTCTTCAGGCTAGCTGCCCATTGCAGCCTCAGCATTACATTCTCAGAAAGCCGAGGGGATGAGCACATTTTTTCTCTAATTAGATAGTGTTAGCCTATCAATTTTGAATGAGATAAGTCTCCATGCCTGATGTCCCAGATTGCTCCCCGAAGTGCTCATTAGTCACTTCCCCTGCAGCTGCCTTATTGTCTTCCAGATGCCAGCCAGGAACCTGACATTTCCCTTCCCTGGGACTGGGGCACGTGAGGCCAAGCCGGTGACACTGGCGTTGGTCAGAGAGGGCTGACCAGGCCTTCGTGAGGGCCTGCCTGGTGAAATAACACGGCCCTTTCATTTCTTGCCCTTTATCCTCAGTCCCTGCTGGAGCCAGCTGCATCACGTTGTTAGCTGCCATCAAGTCAGCCCCCGACTCATGGTGACCCCATGCACAGTGGAATAAAGCATTGCCTGGTCCATCAATAGTGGATCAGACCGTTGTGATCCAATAGGGTTTTCACTGGCTGATTTTCAGAAGTAGATCAGCCTTTCTTCCTAGTCTGTCTTAGTCTGGAAGCTCTGCTGAAACATGTTCAGCATGATAGCAACACACAAGCCTCCACTGACAGATGAGTGGTAGCT